ATTACTTTTAATTATTTGTTAGAGGACAACTCAATTAGGTCCTCCTTCAATTCTGTTGAAAACCAACATTGGCAACCACTTGAATTGTAGAAGCATTTGTTAGCCAATCACCAAAGTTAACCACATTCTTAACTTCTGGGAAATCTAAAAATAGACTTTAGCAAGATCTATTAAATGCCTTAGCTTTCTTACAAGTGTCTAAAGTTAAAGGCTGTTTTTCAGGCAATGGTTTGTTTCATTTTATCCTTTGTTATATACACTGGGGATTTGTATGTATAAGGTCAAATTCACCAGAGCAAGACTCAAGATGTGTGAGGGTAAGTGGGAGAGGGTGAGGGGCCAGATGGTCAGGAAGAGAAATGACACAGCATTCTGACTGCAAGTATATTCTCAGGCAAATAAATTTTGAAGAAGTTAATGAAAGTTGAGACTTGGACCGGAAAACGAATCCCTTAACATGGTTCATGCCTCTGTCTCCCTCAGAATGCATGTTTTCCAGGAGAACATACTTCTCAGTTTGAACACAGCTATGTACTTCTCAAAATAAACAGAATGTAACAGAAGAGTTGCTATAAAGTTCCAAGAAAATCGAGCAGCTAACACTTCAAAATTTTCCACATTCTGTCTCCTTGATCTTCTGGAAGCTGGGCTGATCTTTCTCAAAAGACTCTAAAATTAGTCATCTGGAATCTGATGTTCCTTAGATGAACATTATTTGATCCAAACAGCAGACTGTCCACATGAAAACATTCTTAAGTTTAAAGGGTCAGACCCTTCACTGAGACCTGGCACTTAGCTTTTACAACAGTGGTAAGTAGATCTCATGAAGTATGAGATAGATGAAAAGAAACTTAGTGATTATTGTCTTCAGTATTGATATAGAAAGATTAGTGCTTTAATGTATGAGGTTCATGCCTTAACCTACTCTGTAAAGTATACTATATTTGGCCCACTTACACATTTTTATGAATTATATTGAATCTACCACTTAACATATCATATACTCATGCCTAAGGGAAGATCACATACAATCCTACCTAATTTTCGGTACCCTTTTGGCAAGCTGAATTGTGCCCTTTATGAATAATTACTATTACGACCAAGATTACTTAAAATAAAAAGAAATTGGAGAGGCATTGGTAGTAAAATGACATACACTGTGAAAGCACTTAAAATGTTGGGGTAGTGCAGCCATTATGCAAAACATTGTGGAGGTTCCTCATATAATTAAAAATAGATCTACCATATTATCCAGTATTTCCAATTTTCAGTATTTATCCAAAGAAAATAAAAGCACACAAATTTTTTGAATTTGAAAATATATATGTACCTTTATATTTATTTCAACACTATTCACACTAGCCAATGTATGGAAACAACCCAAATGCCCAATGAAGGATTATTGGATAAAGAAAAAATATATATACACTCTGGAATACTATTCAGCCATATCCAAAAAAAAAAAATACGAAATCCTGTAAATTGCAACATGGATTGTACTTACGGGAATTGTACTAAGGGAAATAAGTCAGAAGGAGAAACACAAATCCATCTGATTTCACTCAGTTGTGGAATATAAAGAAGCAAAGCAACCAACCAAACAAAACAAAACAAAAGTAAACAAACCCTTAGTTTCTCACCACAGAAATGTGATTACTAGAAGTGCGTGGAATAAGTAGAGTGGGTGGATTGGTTGATAGTGGATGATGACTGACTTTGTTGCTCGTGTGGTATGATTCATATAGTTGAGGTGAAAAACTACACACCAGAAACATACAGGTTTGTAAACCAATATTATCTCAATACAGAAAACTGTGGTTGAAGATGAAATATAAATCAGAGATGGCAAAATGAACAGAAAATTGAATGAATGCTGTGCATGGCAAGAATGGATTTCATTCAGATATAGGATTTAGTAATAGTTTGATTTACAGTTTAGAAAACTTTCAAATCTTTGAAATTTTTGGTTCATTGGCAAATATGAGTTTTCATTTTTCCCATAAAAATAAATTGAGTGACTTATCACTGGCTATTCAGGGGGCCATTTGTACATTTAATAGCTCTATTTAATCTGAAACACTCAGACTGTTTCCTCAAAAATACATATGGGTGTAAATACTAATGGAAAATATTCTTGGCAAGATAATTTTGGAGCTTGCCAAACCCTAGACATCTTAGAAATGTTTGGAGATGTTATAATGAGCAAAACATACTACCAGTTCACTGAACCTTAGAGTTATGTGTCACGAAAGTAGACAAAATACAAAATACGTTGTCATGCTTTCACTTAACCATAGCCATTCTCATGTGTTTGAATTTAAACTAAACACTTCCCTCATTTTCAGTTCAGCTATGAGATGAATTAGTGTGATTAAACTAATACCAAATTCCAGTAAGACTTGTCATCAGTTGGTTATAATCATCTCTGAAGTGAAACTGCCACAGAAGACATGGCAGCACTTCATGAGTAGTCTAAAAATTTATATTGGGAGATGAATTTGCTACTAACAATACATGGAGCCTTTTTAATTAGAAAGAAAATTATAAAAACACACACCATGTGCTTTTTTGACAGGGATTTTGAAAGCCTTGTTTTATTATGCTCCTTAAAATACACCGCAGGGCAGTGTAACTCCTCTCTTTTTACATAGAATCCCGTTGTTCATGATGTTAAATGCAAAGAAATGACTAATAGTTCCTATCTTATCTGACCTAAGACTATTTCATTTCTCCTCCAATGTATTACCTAAAGTCTATACCTAGATAGTCATTCTTTCAGATTTATTTAGATTGTCACATGTCTTGCATACTGCACCAAGCCCAGTATAGCTTATGTGGATGAGGGAATTTTACCTCTAACTTGAGAATAGTCCATGCTCCATCATGCATTATACATTACATAAAGCTGGCTGGAAGAGAGGTGACTATGAAATGTACGAAAACTATTTAGTTAATAGTTTGGTTTGAGTCTGCTTAAATTTGGAGACCTCCAAACTGAGATAATAACAACTCTTTCTTGAGCTTCCTTTTGAACAATTACTCAAAGAATTCTGGAATTGAGGTGAGCAAGCAGAAGGGAAAAAGAGGCAAGTTGGGCCTCCCCTGGTGGCACAGCAGTTGAGCGCTGGGCTGCAAAGCTGCCCGCAGCCTCTGCAGTGCCAGTTCAATCCCCGGTCGCCTGCGAGGGTCCCACATGGCTCGCAGACCTCTCCTGCCACGCCTGCTGCTCCCCTCAGCAGTGTACTTCAGTCTGCCTGTTCTGCTCCCCGCTGTGGCCCTGGTGAATTCTCTCACCCTTCCACGCTTCTGACTGTGCCCAATGGTTGTATAAATAAATAAATCTTAAAAAAAAAAAGAAAGAAAGAAAGAAAGAGGCAAGTAAAGTTAGCAGCATGCTGTGCACACTGACTTAGAAATACCCAAAAGGCTGGAGCACAAGTGGTAAAACAATTGGAACACCAAGAATGCCAATGCTTTAAGAAGACAAGAATTCTAATTAGTTTGGATGGGAGACTCGGCATGAGGCTAAATAGATGGTTTGATGTTTAGCATCATTATATTGGACTTTGTCACAAGCATTACACAACATGATTGGGATAACACGAATGTTAGACAAATCACCTATCTCAGAATTTCCTAAATAACGCTTTAATGCTTTCGGGGAGAATTTTTTTTTTAATATTACAGTGTTTTCCTTTGTTGGATTCCCTAATGAATTTAACAGTCTTTATAAGTTAGCAGGAAATCTGGACTGATCATTTGAGGCCTGTTTTCTTTATACATTGTGGAGGATGGGTTTACTTTTAGGCACCTAATAAATCATGATCTAACATCTAAGAAACAGACTTACTGCCATATTGCTAAATAAATGAAAGAGAAAACAGTATAAATGGTTAGTCTGATTTCTCACCTATAAGACAGTAATGGACCAAAAAGTGGTATTCTTTAGTAATGAGATGCCAGACTGCATTTATCAATTATATGTTAGTGCCCCCATCTTGTTATGTGTGGTTAGTAATGGTTTTATATTTGAAAATGTTAAGCCCTGCCTTGTTTGTAGCTCACCAAGGAATATGACCATATGTGATGCTTTTCTATTTCAGGCAATGCCCCCACTGCTGGATAGATTGCTGTTGACAGCTTTTGACCAGAGGGAGCCATTAGATTTTGCTGGCTAGCAAACAATTACAGCTTTGATATGAGCTCAAGGTAAAGATTAAAAGGAATACCAATGCAGAAAAATGTTAGCTCTGTGTGGTCTCTAGATCTTTCATGTGGAAATGAAAAAGTATATAGGTGTAAAAACTAACATAACAAATACAAAGAGAAAAAAGCAAGCATTTCAGGATGATAACAGGTAAAGTGAACACTGCGAGAGACCTGGAAGGAGGTGAAGCTAGTAGAAATATGTGAAGCTAGTAGAAACATCATTCCACTATAAAAAAGGAATCCAAATGATTCATTTGAGGATAACAAATATTTTTTTTAAATTTTATTTTTTAATTTTTAAATGTACTTTTTTCGTATGTTAATTTTTGGGCAATATATGATTTCTCCTTTCAGATGTGGTCACCATAATTCTCCCATCAGCAATGCACCCATAGAAGAAAAAGTTTAAAAATGATTTCTGTATTTGGAAAATAGTTATATTTGCTTCTAGCAAGGAGGTTTTAGAATACTGCTTGCATCTTATATAAAGTGATACAATAATGCATGTAAACTGATGAGGTTTATAGGTCAATGAATGTTGTCAAACAAGAAGATAGGAATTACACTTGAGATTTGCTGGCTATAAACTAAATCAGTAATGTGTTCGTCTGACAACTTTGCTTGGACTAGGAAAAAAAAAGACAAACTATGATTAATTTAAGACTCTATGGATCCTACAATTATTAGAAAAAAATCAAACAAATATTTATATGACTAAAGCATACTTCCTTTGACAGAAAAGCACATAGAGTCTCACATGAGTTGTGCATAGAAAGGATAAAAGTGCTTACCTATTTGGGTGCAGTAATCTGTGTCCTGGAATATTCATGAACTGAAGGCTATAATCTCTGTAATCTATGGGTTAAATTTTGAAATAAAGAGGTTTTAACATCTTAATACAAATGACACCTTATACCCATTCACAATTATAAACTGAAATATTCTTTTGTAAAAGATTGGTAATTTACCATAGTACTAATGAATCATTTATTTAGAATGTTCAATCAGTAACATGTGTATTACTAGAATTTTGATAAGTGGATTTAAAAAAATACAACTTTGAAAAAACAGGCTTTGGGGCCTCCCTGGTGGTGCAAGGGGTTAAATCTCAGCACTATTAAGCTATTGCCAACTACTGCAACATGAGTTGGATACCCAGCCAGGTAGCTAACCCACATGGCACAGCAGACCTCTCCCATCTTTCCTGCTGCTCCCCTCAGCAGTGTATTTCAGTAGATCTGCCTATTCTGCTCCCCACTCTGTCTCTGGTAAATCCTCTCACCCCCTGTACCTCTGGCCTACACCCAATTCTTGTATGCATAAATAAATTTAAAAAATCTTCTTAAAAAGGTAGGCTTTGGAAAGTAAGAAGCCAACATGCCAATTTAAAGACTACTAAAATAAGTAAGCTATGCATTTCATGATTTTTTTAAATTTTTTTTAATAGAGGCATGTTTTATTGATTTATTTGTTTGTTTGTTTGTTTTGTTTATACATGCACTGGGTACAGTCAGAAGCATGGGAGGGTGAGAGAATTCACCAGAGCCAGAGTAGGGAGCAGAGCAGACAGAAGGACCGAAGTACACTGCTGAGGGGAGCAGCGGGCGGCAGGAGGGGTCTGTGCGCCATGTGGGACACTCCTCCGGTGGCTGGGGAGCAGCCGGGGATCGAACCGGTGCCGCAGAGGCTGCAGGCAGCTTCGCAACCCAGCGCTCAACCACTGCGCCACCAGGGAGGCCCTATGCATTTCATGATTTTGACAAATACATGTTGATGAACACTTCATTTTTATTTGTTTGGGTCATATAAAACCAGTTCTCTGCTTTGGTGTCTAAGTTTTGACTATATGATATCCCAGTCCATTCTTGAACTTGTCATTTTCCATCATTTCTTCTCCTTTTAGTCTGAATGGTATGGCCCGAATCAGAAGTTTGAGAGACATACATCAAAATGTCCTCTTTCACCCTCTCTTTGCCCTCCATCACAATATTCTGATGGATGATTAAACTTCAAAATCTTCCTTAAATTTTCCCTCAGTCTACACTACTGTCATTTCTTGCCTGGACAATAGAACATCAATTAGTGCCTCCTAGTCCCCCGCTTATAATCTAGTCTTAAAATAAAACAAAATTGTACAAACTTTCTTTGCTCCAGTGCATATTCTTTGCTCCTTTGTCAAAGATTAGTTGACCATAAATCTGTGGGTTTATTTCTGGATTTTCTATTCAATTCCATTGGTCTGTGTGTCTGTTCTTGTTCCAATACCATGCAGTTTTGATGATTATGGCTTTGTAGTATAGTTTGAAGTCTGGGAGTGTGATGCCTCCATTCCCTTCTTTTTTTTTTCAGGGGAGCTTTGGCTATTTGGGAACTCTCCTGCACTGCTGGTGGGAGTGCAAACTGGTCCAACCACTATGGAAAGCTGTGTGGAGAGTCTTCAACCTACTAAAGATAGAGCTTCCATATGATCCAGCAATTCCACTCCTAGGTATTTACCCAAATGACACAGAAACAGTAATTCCAAAGGGCACCTGCACCCCTATGTTTATAGCAGCACTGTTTACAATAGCTAAGCTATGAAAACAACCCAAATGCCCAAAAATAGATGACTGGATCAAGAAGATGTGGTACATATACACAATGGAATATTACTCAGCAATCAAAAAAGATAAACACATGCAGTTTGCAGCTACATGGATGGAGCTGGAGGGGATCATGCTCAGCGAAATAAATCAGAAAAAGAAAAATACCAGATGGTCTCACTCATAGCAGGAATTTAGAAAACCTAAATAAGAGACTAGGAAAAAGACTAATCAATACAATGTAATAATCAAAATCAACAAGCAACTATAAACCAGAGACACACTACGGGGGAGTGGGGAAGAGGCGGGAAGAGGAAGGACTAGAGTCAAAATAAGGGGGGTGCAGTTGTATGGGGAATATAACCAAAATGAAAATGCATACATTGTGCAAAGATGAAAAATGATGTAAGAATTATATAAAATTAAAAAAAAATAAAAATAAATAAAACAAAATGTAAAACACAAACCTGATTTCAATATGGCCCTTCCTAAACATGTGTTTTCTATAGTTCCTAAATAAAACAAATATTCTATCTCCCTCAGATCAATTTTTCCTTTCATTCTACTTAAGCCAACCTGGTTTTCTATCCCTACAAATGTCCAAATGCTTGCTTTTCTCACAGATTCAATAACAGCCTTTGCTTTGCCCAGGTTCTTCTCCCACCCGTGCCTCAGGAAATATCTACTTAGCTAATTAAATTCTCAATTTAAAAGTTAAGGCCTTAGAGAAAACTTTCCTAACCAAACAATATAAAGTATAACCTTTCTTCCTAATAGATCTAATTTATTTGGTTGTGGTCTGAGATCATTTCTCATATATGTTCTGGTCATTGTCTCTTTGTATAGTTAATCTCTCTCACTGCAAATCTTTCTTACAGTATCCTAAGCTATTCAATATATCTGTCAATATTACCACACAAAATAAGGTTTTATTTCATTGTAATAATCCATCACACAATGTTTCTTTTACCATTGTTGATTATGCAATGCCTATGTCCTCTTTTTCTTTTTAAGGATTACTTTCTTCTATGGTACTGGAAGGATTTATTTAATTACCTTCCTGTTGGATCCACAGGAAGCCTCTGTATTTGACTCCAATGCTAGAGATTCTAGCAGGGACTCACTGCTGGCCTTGCTGCTGGTTTTCGCTAAACCTTCTTCATGAGTCTTCTTGACTCACACAGTATGAGGTTGATGTCATCATGGATTAGACCACATTTAGCTCCCCTCCTTGCACATTTATTCTCCACACCATCTCTCTGGCCCACAGAAGTGTATCATACTTCAGGCAACTCAAGGGATAAAAACTTAGAATGATAAAAATATAGAGATTATGTAAAATGTCTGTTTCTAAAGTTCAGGCAGGAATGCAACCCATCATTAAAGTTATAGAGGGATCTGGTCTCTTACAATGACACCTCATTTTAGAATTAAGCTCTCTTGATCTTGCGTTTGTGTACCCCATTGTGAAAATACTACTTTCTTTGTATTTCCATTCAACCATTTCAGCCTTTTTTACCAGAGTTGATTTAGACTAAAGACATTTCCCTCCCTCTAGTGGTATATTGCTCCATGTTGCAATCACTGAGTCTAGACCAGAGATCAGAAATGGCCATTGGCGAACTATCAGTAGAAAAAAATGACTGTATTGTAGGGAGAAACATAATGATCAGAAGTGGCTTGAACTCATTGCCAAATAAATATGTTTGGAGATTCTATATAAAACAAAGAATTTTGACTTCTGATAAATTGAAAAATTTAGAAATCCACATTCTATATTTCTACATAAAAATAATTAGCAGAGAATGTGCAATGATGCCTCCTTCAAAGGAAGAATGAAATTTTTGGTTTGTCATAGAACTGCTATTCTCCATTGGTTTTAATTATTGGGCTACATTCTGTCCCTTGTAGTCATTTGAAATTTTGTTCTTTGTTCTAGTTCCAAGTGTGCTTGACTAGGATAGATTCTAAAATCCAATCCACACAGAAATCCAACCACTATCCAAAGCTTTGTCTGTTATCTTTCTTATTTTCGGAATGGCATTTCCCAAATGTTAGTGAAATATGTGTCACTCCATTTATATGCTTATGTAGCACCTGTACAATTTTTACTTAAGTAGTTTTTTTTTCTTTTCTTCAGGAAAATCAAGGATATTTTAGGCATTCAGAACGCTGAGGAAGTTAACATTGAGGTTTAAAAAGGGGGAGGAACTAGAAGAATGAAAGTCAGATCCCTTTGAAGAAATCTGGATTACAATAGCAAGGGGGAAGCTGGAATGGATAAACTACTACCTAGAATAGAGGTGTCTCAGAAAGCCCTTGGTGAATCCTAAGGCTGCTATAAAGTATTCCTAAGGTCCAGTTTGCAAATGCTCTCAGAGGACAAAGTCTTTCTCTTCTTTGTCTTTCAAATTATACATGAAGATACTTTTTACTGGATCTAAACCAGATCCCTACAGGCAAGGGAGTCTGGGAAATGTCATCCCCAGATTTTTCTCCTCTCTAGTACAGGGAAGCATTTAGAATGGTGACAGGATTGATTATCACTAAGTATCTGCACAAAGAAGTTTACTTTTAAAAGATACCTGGTGGTTTTATCTCCAGTAGCAAGGAAAATGAAAGAAAATACAAACTGGGACTACACCAAAGTAAAAGTTTCTGTTCAGTGAAATAAACTAAAATACATAAAATAGATGCCCTAAAATAAAATAAAATAAAATAAAAAAGATACCCTATTAAAATAAAAAGATACCCTACTGAATGAAGAAAATATCTGATAGGGTCTGATACTGAAGATCTACAAACAACTCACACAACTCAAGAAAAAGAGAACAAATAACCCAAAGAAAAAATGGGCAGAAGAGCTGAACAGGCACTTCTCCCAAGGAGACATACGGTTAGCCAACCTGCATGTGACAAAATGTCCATTATCACTATCCTCAGGAAATTCAAATCAAAACCACAATGAGATACCACCTCCCACCAGCAGAAAGGCCTATAGCAAAAAGACCAGAAATAACAAATGCTGGCAAAGATGTGGAGAAAAGGAAACCCTCTTTCATTGGCTGTAACAGGGGAAGGACACATGGAGTGGAAAATAAGCAGCAGTTCTAGAAGGAAGAGTTAAGGACAGAGAGAGTGTAGAAGTCGGGGTCATGATAGGGCTGGGACATTTTTAAGGTTGCAGTAGTTTAGAGATGGATACAAAGCACGGGCCTTTAGAGGAGAGCACAGGTAGGATTAAGTGAGACTAACACAGGTTAACACAAAGCA